GTTCCTTAGTATCAAAACCAGTAATAAACATATTAGAGAAATAATCCAAAGGAATACCATTAGCAAACCTGCTTCTATATTTTTTTGGAACAATCTTTATTCAGATATTGATTGGGAACAAACATGGTTATTGCCAACAAAGTTTTTTTTATCTCAAACAAAGTACGTGAGGTATCTCTTAAAATTTTGCACAGGTGTTACCCTGTAAATTCAGTGCTGAGAAAATATATTCCAAATATTGATCCTCTCTGTTCCTTTTGTCATATCGAACAAGAAACATTAACCCACCTTTTTTGGGAATGCTCGTTTAGGAAAACCTTTTGGTGTGATTTCAATGTTTTCTTTAGTCGAATATAATGTTTAAATGTTAAACATGTTTTGTTTGGTATTTCCAATAATACTATGTCTGGGAAAGAATATATTATAATTGTTCTTATTTTGTTGGCTAAGTTCCACATACATGCCTGTAAATTTGCTAAAAACAAACCTAACCTTACTGTCTTTAGAGCTTATGTAAGATGCTTTTTAGAATCTTTAAAAATATGCACCAACTCTAAACCTATGAAACTTATAAACTTAAGTGATGAATTTGATTTGTAATTTTAGATTTTTTTCTCTCTTCTGATGGAATTTATGGATTTGTTACCCCAGCACCTCGAGCACGTTTATTTATAAAAAAAAAAAAAAAAAAAAAAGCTACAGCTTCTCTCTTCCGGTCGTCCAGGACCCAATGATGCAAAACCTGACTTCGGACATAATTATTCTTTGTTCGACTCCCCCTAGTGGTCTGGATCACTTCTATTTTTAGCATCTTTTGTTTGCATCTCTTTTTTGTTGCATGTGTTTTTCTCGTGTTTGCTGGGTGTTTGTACCTGTCGGCCACCAGTGATGAAAGTAACACTGGAATAAAAATTTAAGACTTTCAGTTTACAGCGACATAAACTGGGTTTAACTCATTAATTTCTACAATGTTAAGTACATAAAACACAGTTCTTAAACAAATATCCATTCTTTGGGTATCACTAAACAAATCAAAGAAATAGAACTTCCAAAATCTAAAATTCAACATGGCTGAAATATTGTGGAATTCTAGAATCAACAGGGTTTTAAAATGTGAACTATTAATGGTTTTCAAGAGTCCAAGTGACACTTACTTTATTAGATGCAGATGAAGGCACCGTCCAACATGGAAAAAGATAAGACAATATAATTTAGATCCTAAATGATATGGAAACAGAAATATTTCAAAGAAAAGAGAAGGACAACAACTAACCTGAATGAGATGCCACTCAAAGTCCATCAGGTTTTTGATGAGGGTGGAAACCTGCTCATTCACTGTCTGCTTTTTCTTTTGAATGGTCAGTCCTGGCTTTTTGGATACCATTTTCCCATGACCGGCTTTTGTGCCCCTTTCTGGGTCAATCCTAATGAAGCGACTAAGAAACACAATCAAAAATGGGAAAATTCCTGAGAATATAAATAGTGTGGCATTCTGAAGACAGCTGGTACAATATATAAATAAAGCTGTTTTTAATTACATAAAGAGGAAACATCACCACCTTTGTCAAATGTTAATCATAACTTGCTTTAAAACTTTAAAACCATGTCATTGTATTTTGCTCATTGTAAAAAAAATTATAGGAATGGTTTTACCATTGAATGAACCAAAGTCTTGGCTGCCTCATGTTGATATTGGGTGTTGAAGGTGTTGAAGATGGAAAATACTGTCCTGTCTGGAATGTTGGCTGGACCCTCTCAAAGACAATATGGCCTTCAATGCTGACCATGCAGAAAACTGCTTGCCACAGGGACTGTAATAAACCAAGTCCTTAATTGGAAGAACATAAAACAAATCCTCTTATTGATACAGTGTGCATTTAAATGATCATCATAACAAAGAATGTCTACTCTGCCAGGTAAAGTAAAAACAAGAATTTTAAACTCCTCAATTGTCATGCAAGTCAGATCAATGTTGAAAACTGTAGGCTGGATTAATGTACAGAAGTTGTAGAGGAATTCATGGTACTTTGCACTGAAGGTGAAGTGTGCTTTGAAAGTTCATCAAAAGCTACCTTGGATGATCTTGTGATCACTAATGGTGAAGTGTCTTTGCTGCTGCTCTTGTTTCCACAAACGCAGGAGGAAGGGCTGTCCTGGTTCCACACCAATGAGGAAGGCTTCAACACTGGCTTGCATCTTTGACATAATGATAAAAAGATGAATATTAAAAATTATTAAATATATTTAGCAGTACAGCTACATTCAGATAGCAAACAAAGCCAATGAGAAAGTGCTTCTACAAAGAAGTAGGATCATTAGATTAACCACATATCTGCATATATCTGAAAACATGGTCCACATTTTGACATGAGCTGTTTTGGATTCTTCATGTGGCCTTTGGATGTAGGATGAAGCACATGAACCAACAGAAGAATGCCTGGTTTTCCCAGCCTGGAGGAACAACAGGATAAATAACAGACACATTAGGATAATAAATAAACATTTTAAAGAGAAGTGTGAGCAAAACTAACCAGACCCACCTGTGTGTGTGTCACCATCACAGTCATTCAAAATACTTTATCCACCCGATTTATCCTGGAAAGCATTTTTCACCACCTGCAACATAAAGCATAAAAATGTCAGAAATAATTACCATGAACACAACTCAGACATTAGGCATTATAGAAATTAGTCAGCTTATAGAAACATTCTGGACAGCATTTCTTCTGCCAAACCTGTCAGAAGAAATGTGTTGAAGTCATCATAACATGCTTCAGTCACTAATACGTTGCAATTGTGGGAGCAACTCTTTAGCAAACACTATTTCTTTAGGGAAACTGACAAACCTATCTTTGAATTTGACTAAACAAGTGTTTAATTAGGCCCGAGCAGCGAAGCACTGGCGAGGCCTATTGTAATCGCAGGATTTCTTATTAGGCCCGAACAGTGATAGTGCTGCGAAGGCCTATTGTTTTTTAAATGTTTATTTGTATTTTTCTTGGTGCAAATTAATTGGCTTTTTGGGGGCTTTATCATATTCAAAAACACACCAAACTTGGCAGACGCATACATCTCGTGTGAAATTTACGTATTTTAAGGTTGATGCAAAAATCGCAACAGAAACAGCTCAACGGCGCCCCCTAGAAATTGTCAAAACACCCTCCTCATATGGCTCAACGGCGCCCCCTAGAACATTTCAAAACACCCTCCCCATTGACCTTAGTTTATTGTAGAGACATGAAATTTGGTACACTTGTAGAGTTCCCCAAGATACACAGAAAATACAATCAATGTCATAGTGCAAGTCAAACAGGAAGTCGGCCATTTTGGATTGAAGTTCCGATTTTGACCCCATTTTGGCCGTTTACAGACATTTCATCGAACTCCTCCTAGGGATTTCAATCAATCGACTTCAAACTTGGTCAGTTGGTTCATAAGGCATGGCTGATTAAAAGTTATCAAAACGGTAAGTTTTCGTGCATGCTGAAGGGGTGATACCAGGGGTCAATGTTCACCTACACACCAAGAAACATGAAACTGCTATTTCCTACACCGAAACTCACAGCGCCACCAAACTTTCAGTGATTGATCGCCATTGGGTGCTCTACAAGAGCAATTTTGACATCACTTAAGCCACGCCCCCTGAGAACAGGAAGTGTCATGTTTTACTGTGAACGGTCGCTATCTGACCACTTTGACCTAATCAACTTGAAACTGTGTCCAGATACAGAAGACATGTTGGTGTGTAGTGGATTCCAACCCCAACTGGTTTCGATGCAGCAGGTGGGTGTGACGGTGTGGCAAAGTGACCTGTAATGCTGTTGCCATACGTTTGGCTCTGAATTCCACAATTTTGAGTCCAGCTGCACCAAACTCACTAGGATTGATCATGATCCAACCCCGGACAGGAATCCAGTGCAATATTTGGCCTAATGTCTCAACAGCACCCCCTAGCATATTTTAAATGATCAGCCCCAAGTCATGCTTTAACCTAGAATTATGAAACTTGGTACACATGTGTATCTTATCAGGATGTACAAAAAAGTCTCTTGGAGCCATGGTCCAAACCCAACAGGAAGTTGGCCATTTTGGATCAAAGCCACCATTTTCTCATTTTTTATAGACGTCACATCTGACTTAACTCCTCCCACACCTTTTGAGATACAGACTTCAAACTCACTCAGCAGAGACTTGAGACATTAAAGGTGAAAAGTTATCAAAGGAATTCTCGTACATCAAAGCATGTGGGCGTGGCTAAACGTCAAACTTTGACTTTTCTCCATGAAACATGAATGTGCAATAACTTCCACAGGCTAGGTGAGAGCTGCATCAGACTTTCCATGTCTCATTAGCCCTGATCACATTCACATGGTCAATTGACGACATCACCTTAGCCCCGCCCCCGTCCTGTTGAAATATGAAGGAGTAATTTGTTCAATGGTTAATGGAAAGACTGTTATGCTGCCATCTGCTGTGTCTTTTGAGTACTGCAGTTGTATTGTACTGTTCTGAAAAAAACTAAATAAAACACACGTTGAAGAACGCCTGTTCTCTTCACCTCCAACGGAGAGTTACCTGTTTTTTCTGCTGGATATCTTACTTTTACTCTTTGAATGAAATAGGTTCAATGCTGTGCCAGCTGATATAAAATGACATGATGATGAACTCTGTGAATGTTTGCTGCTGGCTGAACCGTGTGGGTGTGGCTAAGTAGTGAATTGCAATGCTCGCCATATGTCTACGATTGTCTCTAATTCACACATGAATAATC